ATATATATATATATATATATATATATATATATATATATATATATATAAAATAGACGACGAGCTATAAATAATGAAATGCTCATGGAATTCCTATCTAAGGACTCCATTGTATAATATTTATCATTCTATACAATATATTTTACGAGCGGATCTGTTGGACAAGAAATATGAAATTTGGTTCAATAAAACAAACCAAATTTAATAATAAGAAACCGATTTAGTCATATGACAATATTTTTCACTCGAAACTTTTACAAGCGATATATATTCATAAGTTCACTAAAAATCCATCTATTAATATAAAAATTAATAACATATTTACAAGACGGTATTATAGATCATCATTACATCAAATATAAAAATCGACATAAAACTATAATAATTATTAATTCGAACAATTAGAATTTAATGACAGCTATTCAGGACACATGCCCGATTTTCAATAAATTCTTCAAATCAAAAGAATAAATATACTTTTATATACTTGAGTTTGGAGAAAACATGATATGAAAATTAGGAGCGAGGATAAATAAAAAAATTAATATGATATTATATACAATAGCTACCAACCAGTGCTCTCACAATATTCATCTCTCGTGATAGCGCACACTATTTCAATTTTAATAAAACAATTCAACGGAAAAATAGACATATAATAATCCCATTATCATGTATGTTTTAGCTAGTCATACGAACCTCGTGTAACCAGCTAAACTTTTTCAATTCTTCTTGTGAAACCAAAGTCTCGTAAAGTTACAAAAAATACAATAGGTAATCAATTTTCATAGCTTGCGTATCAGTTAATTACTTTATTGACATAATAGTCATTTAGATATTTCATACAACAATAATATAAGGACAAGTTCCTCAAAACTCTAAAACGACGGGCGATGGTCGATCACTCATTACCTCATTCAAATATGGTACAGATACCGATCGTGTTATATTTGAACGTTACTAATGGTGCAAATTGAGTACACGCCGTATATATTACACGAGTTTACTGACCAAAACGAGTAGCGACGATGCGGAGACAAGTCAACTGATAGATACGACGACGATTTTTCGGTCACGGAATCGGCGCGGATCGCCTTAATCCGGGGCACCGCGTCTTTGCACACTATCGGAGTATCGCCAACGGTAATGGCAAACGGAATTTTCGAAGAACCGGTCGCGTCCAACCCACTGCAACTGATATTAGATGCTAGCTGTTGTTGTTGGACGTAATGGTGCGGAGGAGGGGTTTTAGGCCGCCTAGCAGACCGACGGGGCGAATTCGTCAGGCTATTGCCACCGCTACATCCTGCACTCGCAACACCCTGTTGCCGGCGATCGTACACTAACAACAGGTTAGGGCTGGAATTTTGTTTTTTGGCCGGACATTCGGCAGCGATTTGCTGAAGCGACGACAGTGATTGAGCTTCGGCGGCCGAGGCACTAAGAACGGCCGTGCTGTCTACTCCTCGTGGCATTTTGGGCATCACCGATTGCGCGAGTCGGGCACAAGCGCTCTTCGACTCCCGCTGCAGATTGACCAAGGTCTGCAGGTACGGCAAATTGCTAACCGAGGACGACGAAGACGACGACGCGGCGGGGGTAACCGTGCCCGCGGAAGAGCCGGCTGCGGTAGCGGCGGTAGTGGACTTTCGTTCGCGGCTGTTGTGAAACGAGTTCCACCGGCGGATGGGCTCCAAGAAGTACTGCCTGGACTTCCGAGACGCGGGTCGTGACAGTTCGGGACTGGACTCGTTTTTCAGTATGCCGTTTTTGCATTTCGAAGACCTCCGTCTGTCGGCGGCGGCGGCGGCGGCGGCGGCCACCGCCACCGCCGTCCCCAATTTTTTTTGGGCTTCGATGCGTTCTTCGAGCTGCTTGGAATGTTTTTTCATCGTCGTCACCGGCACCCCGCATGTGTCGTGCGTAAATAGACAACGACGACGACGACGACGAACGCGACCCCCAAAAACCGCACGGACCGACGACGACGCGAACGCCACGCACGATTCACCACTGTCGGAACACAACGGTGGCACTGCGCGCACTGGCCAAAACGCATCCCCGGCGACGCCGTGCGAGTGTGTGCGGGCCGCGCGCTGCGGGCATGCTCACGCCAGATGGTACGTAGTGCGCCGGCGGCGGTGGCGGTAGGGTCGCCATATACCACCCCCGCCGACCCGTTTCACTCTCACGGATAATTTCGGCGCGCACTCTTCCCCTCTATTCCGGACATCAACTGTATTCATGTATACGTAAGGTATATATGTGTGTATGTGTGTGTGTGTGTGGGTGTGTGTGTATTCGATATGAGAAAGAGCTGAACAAGCGCGCATAACTGTATAAATTAATGAAATGTTTTCTGTGAAATTAGGTCGAAAAACCAAATATTATCAAAAAATGTGGCTATACAGTATCAATTCAATACATTATGTATCTTTTATTATACGTTAAATAATAATTGACTGCGATTTTAACGCGGAGTCCGAGGGACGAATAGTAGATGACATATCCGAATGGACAAACGGAGGACAGCCGCGTGATGAATCGATTTACTTGTCGTGCACGAGCCATGACGAGAATTTCGCGGGAAACGCCACAAATGAACGTATGTCGTACGCGGGACCATTTTCCCGACCAGGATACTGAACACTAAGAATTAAACAAGCATACATAATAACATTAGTGAATGTCTACAGTTGAATCTTATCACACCATATAAAAGTGTATACAAACGCGATGATTTTTATTGGTATTTTAAACGCGACACTCGCCCGCATCGATATCCCTTTTTGTAATACAGGGGGAATTACATTGTTTACATCTGTCAGTGTGGCTGAAAAAGTAATCTTTTCAACAACAATTATTTACATATAATTTTACGACCAAAACCAACGTATCTACGTTTCGTGGTCAACCTGGCCCTTATAATCAATCGTTTTTATAACATAGAAATCAGAGTAACATAGTAACCACTCTATTTATTATAATGTCAACATAATTCCCTTCGGGTAAGGAATGAGTAATCAATACTCTATATCCAATTCTATTAACTATTTTGAGTGTATAGCTGGCTATTTCTTTTTACACTAACAAGCCTACGGGTCCGATTAAATGGACTGACTTATAAAAATTTAAGTTATACCATTGATTTGCTAATAAACTTTTACTAATAAAATGTTATTTTAAAATCAATGGTTATACTTAATAGATCTTTGAAAATATGACTTGCTATGACTATTGAAATTTGCTCTAACTAAATAAAACACATCGCTGCAAATGGATGATTTATTTTTATAAAATATAAATTACACAAAAATAATTATATAAACACACTTTTACCCAATCGACCCTGTTCTAAATGGGTGAAGTGCGGTAGGAGTGAGCGATTTATTTTAAAATACTAACTCTAGTGATCGGATTGGATCTTAAACTCAACTAATTAAAATAAATACCTTATATACGTATTCTTATACTTCGTGTTTTGTCTGCTTTATAGGTGAAAAACTCCGAGAAAATAATATTGACAAATCAAAATAAATGTAAATTGTTATACAGTATACAATGTTAAAATGTGGGGCCTAAATCATACGACCACAAGTCGAATGACGTTCGTTTTCTTATTACGATATGGTCGGTCGACGTGCAATTCAACAAAAAAAATTTGCAGCGGTATTTCGATTCCACATCCACTTCCACCTCACATATAACTGTACACACAAGAAAATTGATATAATTATTGTGATATTTAACTGTAAAGTTAGAACACTGTATAATGAAAGCAATGGTAGTGTCGGATACCCAAAATATACATTTACGAAATAAAAGACCTTGGTTAGGTTAACAACTCGGATAACAATTAATTTCGTCCAATTTTATTGAATTAAGCATTTAATTCTTTTTTTTTTTTAACTAGCATTTTCTCAGTAATAATTAATAACAATTAACTATATAAACAACAGTATTAGATATAGTTTTTAATTTTAAGTATTACTACTAATTTTATAAAACGTTTATATTATATTTTAAAATAATAGCATTACCCAATAGAACGGGGTTCAGTAGTATAGTTATCACACGATGACGGTCCCCGGATGTTAGTGACATGGCGTGTTTTTTGTAGATAAAATAAATAAATATACTAATAATGGATGGTCTTTGGACATTATAAACATTTGTAGTTTTTAATTTAATATAATTTTTTTTTACTCAATTGTATGTGACAATGCGATTTAATTTACTATACATATTTATATTAGGTATCCAGAATAGTGATTATCAACTGTCTAACAGCTTAATTTTAATTAAAGTATATTTAAAATTAAAATTATATTACTGTTATAATGTAAATAATTTTACGGAATTAAAAAAATAGCACTAATTATTGTTTCATCGAGAGTAAACACATGAAATAGATTGTTTAAAACGACCCAACCAAACCAATATAATGATAATATGATATCGATAAAAACCTTGAGCAATATAAAACAGGAGTGTAACAAAAACTAACTATGCAAAAAATAAGTTGAAATTTGATTAGAATATTGACTACAATTTATTCAAAGTAATTGTAATATAAACGTTTCAATAAAAATTAGTAAATAATATTTAATAATTGTTGTTAGTATATTTGATTTTTCATAGAAAAATAAATTTCTGATCAATTTTCCATATTTTATTTGTACATGTGCATTATACTTAAGATCGAATACTATTAATTTTTTTATATATTATTAGGTCCCACATTTTCGCACACATATTTTTAATACCAAATATACATACATATATATTCGATTTCTTTACATTTTGTCGTTTTGTGGACCAATCTCATCCTAAAAAAAGAAAAATAAGTATAGATCGTATATTGTGTTTAAATTGAATATTACGATTACACACTGCGATTTAAAATCAATGAGTAAATTTGATAAAAAAAATAATAATGAACAATATGCAAACAATACAAATACGCACCCGACGTACTGATAATTTACACATTTAATATCGTCAAAAATTGCGTTAAGTGCGCATCAGAGCTGGTGTATAGAAAAGTACAAATTGTGAGCACTTAATAACATCTTTACAAGACAAATTTGTCCAAATACCAAAGACATGTAATTCTATAGATAAACATTACGTAAAAAATTATTATAAACATAAAACTTTATATATTGCGTGGATCACGTTTTTTCGTGCACATCATGTCCATTCACATTTATGATATATACAAATAATATGTGCATAATATAATACATTTACATACATCTACATAATATTATTAATATTATAATAACTACTGTTGGCGATAATACTTCCTTATTAGCGAAAAACCGCCCGCCAGTAAGATCTTCGCTAGTATTCAATTATTATAATTTACGACAAATAAAACGCTTTCTCTTGTATCACATTCTCCAGTTGCCGGGTTTCGGGGGATATCGTTTTTGAAAAAGTTTGTCAATTAAATGTATAACGCACGCACGCTCACGTGTGTGTGTGTGTGTGTACGACAATGGGTATATATTATTATATTATTATTATAAAATGAAGAATGCACTGAACGATCCGTGACGCCTCACCCAACAGTGCCATACTGGTGTCCGTCCCATCATTAGAACAGTAGTCACACACGTACAACACAATAATAATAATAATCATAAACATAGCGCAAAAATGTACAAGGAATATACGTACGTAAAGGTATAAGTAGACAACAATACTACAAATCAACAACATCGCGTCTATAAAAACTATTTTTATACATAATTGGACATTTACGCAAATAAATTATAATTTTCATCAAAATAATTATTTTTGAAAATATATTTTTAAATGATAATGACTGAATTATATTACACAAAATTAAATATACTTACAAAAACACATTAATTAAAAGATAAAATATAAGTAGAAAATAAATTATCACGTATAAAGTAAAAATTATAAAAGTCAAATGGCAACACGAAATATTTATGTCTAGTGACCTCAGATTGAAATGGGATTTTCATGGAGAGACAAGGGATACTGAAATATATTATTTTTTATGATTTTAAAATTTCTAACCCGTTCAGTGTACGCATGCGCAACACAACTTGCATTTTTTTTAAAAATAACAATATGTATTTTGACACCATATTTCAATATTTCAATGCTTTTTTTTAATTATACATTTTATACATAAACTATTTTTCTATTACAATAATAGGCTAATTTACAGCAAGTGAAAATTGAAAAAAAAAATTTCTCAATTTTTAAAAATCTAAAAATATCAGTATTTTGTCATCATAAAATTATTTATGATTGAAAACAAGTCACACATTAGAAGTATGTTAAGAATATAATGGACAAAACTTCGAACAATTCGTAAGATGATAATAAATATATTGTACCAAATTGTTTAAGATAAAAATGTAATTTTTACATTTTATTTTACATTTTAAATTGTAATTTAAGTAATCATAACAATTTATTTTTCCGTGTGCCCTGTTTTAAATCATAAATAATTTTATAATGACAAAAATACATTTTTAAATTTTTAAAAATCGTTTAATATATTTTTTTTTTTCAACTTTCACTCACAGTAAGTCTGCCAATTTTTGAGATAGGAAAATAGTTTATTTAAAAAAAATTAGATCTATTCGAACTTGGTGTTAAAAATACGTATTGCTATTTAAAAAAATGTTTTGTTAAAAAAGTTGTGTTGTGCATGCGTACAGTGATAAGGTTAGAAATTTAATTCCATCAAGAAAATTATATTTTAGTATTCCCTATCTTCTTCTGAAACTCCTATTTCAATCTAAGGTAATTTGAAAAAAATATTTCATGTTACTATTTGAATGAAACATACTGTATATATAAAGCAATATTATATTGCTACGTGTAATACAGAGAAGAGTACATGATGGCAGTCGGACGCGACATTTTCGGACCACGTAGATAGCCGTCGACCGGAAAACGTACGAGCACGTACGAGACGAGAAATCTCGATGAACAGATCCGTTATAATACAATCGCTACTACTTCATATATAGTTCATAACATACTCCGCAGTAATATGCAACAACAGCAACACAATTGCACTACAGCACACACGTCGATACGTTATATTATAGGCTGCCACCCAATTGAATTCCATAATTTTATTTTTTATTTTCACACGGTTGACCAAAGAAGTCACGTCGTAATGAACGAACAAAAAAATACCGTGCGCGGTATATTATAATAATATACTCGGCTAAACAGCGAACACACACGTCGGTGAGAAAAAATAATTTCTTGGCGAGGCTGTATCGTAAGATATTCTTGTACATCGGAAGAGCCATACTTTTTACTTGTAAATATTGATCTGTCTTGTATATATTGTCTTTAATGACGGTGGATCTTATACCACTTAACCGGCTTGTTACGCATGAAACGACGAGCAGAGCTTTTGTGTGTCTATAAAAATACACCATCACTATACGTTGACTGTTTTTTTTTTTTTTAAACAAATTGACCCACGTCGTAAAATAATGCCAGCCGCTTTTGACTATTCAATACACACGATCGTGTTTTTCGATATATAAAACAATTATAATTCTTAGTTTCTTTCGGAAATTATATACACATCATGTGGTCAGTGCGAAAACAATATTATTATACCCTAGTGCGACGCGGCT